CACACACACACACACACACACACACACACACACACACACACACACACACATGCACGGACTGAAGCTGTGAAGACAGAGTTGGGGAAAGAGAAACCCCCAGGAGACTGACATGTTTGTGATAAACACCAGAACCACTGTTACTTCTGTCTGCACCAATGTCTAGTGTGTTCAAATGTGGACTCCAGATAACGTGGAGGTGATGTCATGATGGAGGAATCGCGGCAATTAGTCATGTATGCTCATCACTACATCCTAGTATAGAATAGGGAGCTAATGAGTTCCTCTGAATACAAAGTGAAAAATTTTCTCTCCTATGTCTGCATACATACAACTCTGTTTCTGTATAGAAAGTGCACACAAGGAAAGAGGAGAAATGATGGTGTGCGCCCCCCTGGGGCGATCCATGTGTGATACATGAATCTGAAAGAGAAATGAGAGGAAGTGTCTGTCTTGTTTGGTAGTTGCCTGTATCAGTGCCCATGAGCAACCTAAGGGGAGAGTAGGACATGTGTCTCTCAGGGAGTTGGGAACCTGAATAGAGACCCAGATCTGCCAGTGAATGAGGTCATTCAGTCTTCACAGGCCTCCATTGTCTCATCTGAAGAATGAGACTATTGGAAATGTTAACCTGCCCAGTCTCTTTAGTTCTGAACCCAATAGCTCAGTAGGAAATCCACAGCCTGCCTCTGTTGGTTGTATAATTCTCTGCATAGCTTCATATTACAATGTAAATTCCATGTTGAATGAAGTAAAGGTATATGGTGCAGAATACTCATCTGGTTTTATCAGTATTTTGACAGCTGTAGATATGGGTGTTACGTCTGGGGTGAGAGTTGACTTTGCTACTTTCTTTGATTACTGGTTTTGCTCCAAAATATGTGTGTTTGGAATTATCAGAAAGTCCCTTCAGATATTGCTGCCATCATTGCCTTTCTCCACTTACTTTTAATAACTAGGGGCCAAATTCCCCGGCCAGTAGTTTTAATTTGCATTAAAAACAGATTTGTTATTTACAGAAGCACACAGGATTTATGAGATTTGGAGCAGCAGCTCCAGCTTGGATCTCACCTAATCGTAGCCATGGAATCAATTAACAGTTCATCTGTGAAATGTGATAAAATCTTATGAGATACATATTGCCCAATAACTGAGGAGGAGATGAAAGTATGCTCCATAATAGTCACAGGGCTTTGGGGTTTTACAATCACCACCGAATAGAGTCCCATTAGAAACTCAGTATTCAGGATGGCCACAAAAAACACCATGCCTGAGCAGATGATAGAGCATTGAGTAATAAACCTGGCTGGCCATTCCTGCTTTGATTAGTTTCCAACACCCTTGAAAGGGGGCTGTTTAAGAGTTCTTGCTCTTGGCAAATGAGCCTGTGAAGCTTGGGGTGGGTGAGGGCATGGGGGGAAAAGACGGAGTTCAGAGCTATAAATCCTTACAAAGCTACTGCCTCCATGAAGGGCTGCTTGGGAGGCCCAGTCAGGCAGTGGGCAGTGTGCCTTCATGGGGCAGGTCACAGCATTCTCCGAGAGTCTACCTTAGAGAAGTCTGAGCTCCTTTCTAGCCTGACTGGAGACTGTTTTTTCATCTAACCTTGCTAGGCTCACAGTTACATCTGTTTTTGCATGTTAGTGGTTGATATTCTTGTATTATGGTCACATTTTAAAATGTAGCTCTTTTAAAGGCCATATAGCATAAATTTCTTATTCTACCCTTGAGAAAATGAGAGTGAGATGCCAAGTGATGGTGCCAGGAACCAGAGCATGCCAGAACACAGAGAGGAGGACAGAAGTTTCCTAATTTTCTCTGTTCCCAATTGGCCATCTAACTGACTATTATTGGAGCAGTCAATATGTCATAATCTGACATGTAGTCACTAAATACAGAGTGAAGATCAGAAAATTGACATGAACTTAAAATGGGGAACAAACTTATGCTTAGGTTATGTAACCTCAGAACTGTGCTGTTCTTCAGTCACACAGATAAGATGTACCTGGTAGTTTTCCCAATCATGGTTACTCTATTGGCAGATCTATACAGGCTTTCTAAAGTTTGGGGTACTCTCCAGTACCTGTGAGCCCTGAGTTCTGTGTTAGGGAAGAGTCATGTGGGAAGCTTCCGACAGTATCCCTTCTCATCACCCTAGTGGGTTTTGGTGTTGACAGTTACTTACTTACCCCTTGCATGTTCCCCCCACCTTCTGCAGTTTTGAAACAACGGTGGGATATTTTGGAATGAAGCCAAAGACTGGAGAGAAGGAGATCACCCCAAGCTATGTGTTTATGGTATGGTTTGAGTTCTGCAGCGACTTCAAGACAATTTGGAAACGGGAGAGTAAGAGCCTATCTAAAGAGAGGTAAGGTTGGAGGAAGCACGGATGCCTCCGGAGCAGTCCGTCTTTTCAAGTCTTCCAAAGCACGCCTGTTTCACATGTGCCAGTGTTCTCTTTTGCATCAAGTCAACATCCAAGAAGGATTCTTGCCTCGGGGTTCCCGGAGAAATTCAGGGAAAGCTTGCTGCCCCTGTGGGCAAGATACACTCACATGATCTGATAAGCTCCGTTCTCTTAACCCCTTCCAATTACTAGCTAGTAAATGAAAGGCGAGTTGTGCTAATTTGCAACAGATTGCTTCTCTGTGTATTTTCATGTTGGCCCAAGCTAAATGAGGCAGCTTTGCTGTGGCAGACAGTACAGACAAATAAAAGTGAATGCTGTTCCCATTAATATACTGCATTTGCATCAAAGGGAAATCTCCCCAGCTCAGGCCACACTTCACACAGTGTTGAAGCCCCACGCTGGATTTACAGCATCACTTCTGACTCCCTGTATCCTGCTGAGGACATCAAACTGTGTGCCGCTCGGCCTCCTTGCAGTCTCTTGATTTTATTAGTTGGGAGTAAAAGAAAAAAAAATCAACTCTGAACATAAGTACTGTGTGAGTGTGTGTGTGT